AGATTCAGATATCTGAGTATGTGACATTCCATGGCTGAATTCTCCCAAGGCCCATGAATTTTAAGATGTTATTTTCCTGAAGATAAATAGGGACTTGTTGTTTAGTTAAATGCTGACAAATATGAGAGTAAAATATAAAACTAGCAGTGTACAGTTTTAGAGAATTAATAGAAGCCAGGGATTTCCAAGTTCTATCCTCTCTGATGAGACTTCCCTCCTAAGCCTTGACCTTCCACTGACGCATTTGCAAGACCACTGCTGTCACACCAGACCTGTATTCCTGCATTACAGAGAGTGCAATGTGGTGGAGTTGTTGGTGTAGGGTAGGAAATGGGGCATGTACTGGTACTGGAGAGCTCAAGGTTATAAACAACTGACCCAATGGTCAGATAAAGAAATGTAGAACTGCAACTGGCAAAACTGAAGGGTAACAAAGATCAAAAACAAGAATCCAACACATATGCACCATGCTACATATAGTAAATTGGGATGTAATGTGAAAAGACAGACCAAGAGAGGAAGGCATAAAAGTGCATTAGCAAACATAAAAATGAACCAAAGTGGCTCCTAAAGTGAGGAAGAATCCAAATCCCCATCAACATTATACTGCTCCTGAGAAAGGTTTTGAGATGCGCTACACTGCAGTTCATGTTATACTGAATAACTACTTGTTACTGCTAGATAAAAATACAAAAAATCATGCAGAGATGTACCATAGAAAGATATGAAAATAAAAAAAAATTAGCCATAGCCTGATTTCTAAGATTTAAGGACAAAGCCTGTTTGATGAGCCTGAGCCCTTGCAAACTCAGTATGAAACCTGCAGCTTGTTAGTAGGCGTGATGATATTGTATTTAGTGGGCTACAGCTCTACAGGTTCCTTATCTCATACATTCAAAGTCATGGAAAACTAATCTTAGGCAAGTTTTCAAAGAAGCATTTCCATGTACCTGGGGGTGCCCCAGCAATTTTGGGCCCAGAGATTAAGCAGTAACCAACTTCTGAGTTTTGGGCAGGACCAGCATGGTTTCCATGCACAGGCTGTGTCATATGACCTGTAGCAAATTGTGCTTGCACTGTGCATCCTGGACAATTTTAATCCTCACAAGTAAACAAGAAGCACCCCAAAATGACCCCCAGAGCAATCAAAGCATGTTCCACAGAACAGAGATGAACAGGCTGGAGAACTGTTATTCCCCACCTCTGAACTCTTCTCCCAGCCATCTCTTCTTTCAGCCCTCTGTGATCTATCATTGTGATAGGTGTCCTGTGGCTCTTGGCCAGCAGAAAGATTTGTTACATGCCCCATCAGTTCAGAGAAGTTGTGCTGCTGAATGCTGCTTTGGTTTGTCCTGCACTATGTAAGAGAGGAAGTTTTCTCCTTATAACATCTCTGGGTGTTTGCATCCTTGTTGAACTCTTGGGAACAGAGAACATCTTTTCTGATGCTTGGACTATTCCTCACTCAATACAGCAAAATCTTTTAAAATATTAATAATGTTAATTATTATTAATAGCAAAATTCTGTGGTTTAATAAAGGCTTTTAACTTACAGTTTAAGAAAACAGCAAGGAAGGAAAAGACAAAAAAAACTCTTTTAAAAATATAAATAGACCATAAATCAAACTTTTTCAGTAGCCATGCTGATTATCCTTCTGACTTTAAGGCTCTAAGCTGAACAGGCTTTGACCATTCGGGTCAAACTCTGAATTTACAGGTCTAAATTAAAAGCTAAACAGAGATCTTTCTCCATTATCCATCCAAGGAAGTAAGAGTATAAAGACTTATTAGTCAGGATTAGTCAAGAATTGACGTTGGGGGTTTTATTATTCTAATTAGGCACAGGAAAATTCCTATTCCATTTTGTAATTAAAACAATACACATTCTACCACCTAATTATATTTGACATTTTCAAGGTGTTGGGAGCCGAAGTCTATAATTACAGAAATGCTGCTGCCTTAAGCAGAACACTCCATAAATATTCATATATTAAATAGCCAGTTATACTGTTTAGAAGACTTTAGAAACATTTGCCTTTTCCTTTTTAGAAAAGTTAGACTTTTAGAATACACATTTTATATTTGTATTTTTAAAAACATGGGGGGAAAACAGTCTTTTGGGATCTGACATACTGTATATAGCAAACTGACTACAGACCTCTTCATTAGTATTGTAAGCAGTTATGTCAGAGATTCATAATCTTTTAGAATTATATCTTTTCTTTAGCAGAATGGATAATCAGTCAGAAATAACATGTGAACATGTACTGAAGCCATAAGACAGTAAAATGCAATTCCTAAAATGCCTTCATTTTTTAATTAATAATAGTTAAAGCTTAAATATGGTAGTTTTAAGGAAAAATTATTCACTACCTTTTATTTTAGTGTTCCACAATAAAATACCACTTCAAATATTGCCTATTTTTGTTAGTTGAATACTGCCATTTAAATCAGTTGCCTGCCTAAAAATACTGTGATCCAATTAGAGTTTGCCTTGTGGCTATTGTTCAAGGAGAGACTTTACCTTCCAGATATTGGAGAAATGTAAAAATACTGAAGATGAAACTCTGAGTGCAAGGTATTCCATGAGTGGGCCTGCTCTGTGTTTTCATTCTGGGGAATTAACCTTTGGGGACATGTTGATAAAAGGGCATCATTTCTCAAAAGAAGGGACAATAGGCATCTGCTTGTTTGGTCCATTTAGCCTACTGGAATAAGTTTGTGTCTTGCTCAATGGGACATGGACCCTGACAAAGTCATTAAGTATGACTTTCAAATAGTTAAAAATAAAAGACATTGCAAATGTTTCAAGAGTTAAATGTAGTGCAGAAGGGAAGTTGAGAGCTCAAATTCTGTGCAGAATTTCAATGTCCTAGCAAGAGCAGCACAGAGCCAGTGCAAGCTCCCTGCACACCAGGACAGGGTATGCTGTGGCAGCCTCTGGGTCAAGAGGCCCCTTACCCCAATCAGCAGGGTCTCTGTGCAGGCAGGTGTTGAGAGAAGGACACTCAGTTCCACAACAGTCTAAATTATTCCCAGAGTATGAAGAGTTCAGGGAAGTCCTGTTTCATCCTGCACATCCATGTAATGACTGGAAACAATCTAGGCCATGTTGACATGCTTTCATTATGGTCAATCAGGCTGCATCCAGCACGAAGTGAGGATTATATATATCATATTTTATATATATACATATACATATATAAAAAATATTTTTTATATCATGCATCCTGCTAAAGAACTGGACTTCTTCCTGTGATGGGCAAGAAGCAGGACTTAATTTAGTGGCATTGCATGTAATTATTCCATACATATTTCTGTCAGATTATATAACAGTTATGTATTATGTGTTCACATAATATGTGTTACATGCTGTGTATGTTATATGCTGTACATAATATGTAGGTATAGTATAATATGTGAGTGCAAATATGGATGTGTTTGGGCTATACATTTTTATATATATAAAAGTATGCACATATTTACTGGAGCAAACTTCCCAGAGGCCTGGTCTTATTTCTGTAATGCTCACAGCATGTAAGGATGCCAATCCACATTTTCTCCCTTTGTACACAATCACAGCCTCTATACTATGTGACATTACAATGCAATCAACTTGAACACAGATACAACCAGACAAGTGACATTCTTCCACTCACCACCCTCTTCAGATTCTGCTTGGAACACTTTGAAGACAAAACTCACCCTTTTCAAATCAGCACATCAAAGATAAGCTGTTCTTTTTTAAACAAAAACTCATATTAAAAGATGTTTTGATTAAATTTAGCAGGAACCCTCCTTCTTTAATCACCCAGAATTACATTTTATGCACAAAGAGCCTGAATTTTTATAAGCTCAATGCTTAAAAAACGGAAAATTGCCTGTTAATGCAAGAAACCATTGTTCTTCTTTCATGTAGAGATTTTATTCATCATTTTCTCAAAATATATATGGATCACATTTTACCTCTGCTTCTATATTGCATTGTAGAATGGGATGGATGACATTGATTTTAAACAATCAGTTGTTTTTGAAATGTGAACTGAGCATTGCAAGAATAATCAAGTATGCTCAAAATTCTTTTAGGACAATTGCTGTTTCTCATAATCTCAGATGCTCTTAACCATAGGTACCTCACATGCTGCTGGTCACCTCAGAATGCCCCAACACCCATCTGCCAGGGCTGCTCTCTTTGTTCACTTATAAACCAATAGCTTTAAAATGCCTTTTTGCTATATCTTCTCTTCAATTACTTCCTTCCACAGAGATTTAGTGGTTGATCCTGTGCTTTAAGGAGCTTGTGGTGAGCAGAGGTGAATTTGGGCTCACAGAAGGGCCAACTCTGTTCTTAATGAATTAGTGGAAGTAATTGCAAAGGGTTAGATAACTAAATAGCTGGAGGATAAAAGAATTGTGAGCCATAGTCATCAAGGTTCTAAACAGACTGAGTCTTGCCAAAGTTAATTGCTTTTTTGATAGAATTGCGAAATGGATGTGCATTATCATATATTTAGATTCTAGGGAAGGACTGGATACTGGTTTTCATTAACTATTACTTTGAAACTTAATGCAAAATGGCTTTGATGTAAAGACTGTCGTATATGACAGAGAGTTGCTAAAGGACCAGAAAGGGTGATTGATGAATAGCAGAGTGCTGAGGCCCCACATGGGAGACTGCAGTCCTGATGCTTTCCTTACAAAAAAAATTAAATCAAAGTTTTTCTGTTAATGATTCATAGATAAAAAGGCTAAATTATATGTGCTAAAGATTGGGCTGGGTGTTTTGACTAGCTTGGTATACAGCAGGGTTATTGATATCAACTGAACAGTATTGTATCTCTAGAGAATTAATTATTTAGAGATAGTAAAAGAGGCCTGATAAGGAGCAGTGAGATATAAACTACAAACATCAAAGAGATTTATTAACAGACTGTGTTGTCTTTGCAGAAGCATTGCTATTCCATTCCCAATCAGTAATTTGTTGCTTTCTTCTCTTCTAGTTGCCCATATTGGCATCTTCTGTTGTTAGCCTCTATTTTCTTGAACTTACTGATGTCTTCAAGCCAGTTCATTCTGGATTTAATTGCTATGACAAGAGTCTGAGCATGCCATACATTGAACCTACACAAGAGTCTGTTCCCTTCTTGATGTTGCTTAGTCTGGTTTTTGCTGGACCATCAGTTACGGTAAGTTTGAAGTGCTACTGTCACTTAATAAAGATTTTGAACAGAGGTTCAGTTGCTATAATGAAAATAGCTCCTTTGGTTTGAGTTAGGCTGTAAAGTGTCATCCAGGCTAGTTTCCCTAGGATTTTAAAATCATGTTTCATTCTTCTGTAACAAAAGGAGATATATTCCTTTGAACATTCCACGTAGCACTTCATCTACTCTCACTGTCTTAATGCTGGGCTTTAATTTTAAGAAACAGCATCTACAGTTGGATGAGAATGGTTTGAATCATTCTGTTATGCTGTCCAAATATTTTAATTTTTACAGACTGGGCATCTCCATACTCTCAGATACATAAAAAATGCAGGATTTTTTTTTTCTGAAATGCAAGCCTTTCACAGCCCTGAACTTGCCACTTCTGTTAGAACTAGCTTTATTCAGAGAGAAGGTATATCAATCTTGTCAGTGAACTCAAATACATTTTCCCAAATAGAACTGAACAACCTCTAAATTATAAGTTAGTCATTAAGAGCAGGCAAAAGTGGGCTGGTTTAATCATTCACCCAAAGGGAGGAGATGATTTCAACAGAACAGAAATATCCTGTCAGAATGAGCAGATGGGTCAGTATTTCACAGAAAAGAAAAGTGGAAATTGTCATAGATAGATAAATAGATAGATAAATAGATAGAGAATTCATTTTGTCTGATTTTAGCAGATAGGAGCCTTAGTCTCACACCTGTCTGGCAAATGGAGAGAGAAATTCACCTTGAGTGGGTGATTCTATGCACCTAAAAAACACGATCAACCTTTTGAAAGGATCTCTTCCCCCCCTAACAGCAATGACTACGCATCTCTGTTAAGCACTTCTCAAAGACCAGCTGCAAATATAACTCTGTTTCCAGCTCCTCTTAATTTCCTTAACTTCAATCAGTTAATTCATTTTATAATACTACCCAATTTACAGTTACAAAATCTATAAAATGTGATGCCTGTATAAAAATTATCAAGTGCTGTTTTCTCTTTGCTTTCCAGATTTTTTTTCTTTATTTGTCTCTTTTTTTTAAACTGAACAGTTCTTACTGCATTTGATTTTCGTTGCTTTAGAAACCATTTTTGAAGGATTTTGTACAACCAGCAGGCTAAATATTATATATTTAGGAACTGGGAGCTAAGACTCTTAGTGATCCTGGTGCAAAGAATTGTTTCAAACACCAAATACTGTGATAAAAGCAAAATGTTAGTATTGGGGTTTGGCTGGGTTTCTTAAGGTGTCTGCTGACAACAAACTGGACTTCTCTGACACAGCTATAGAAGGATTCCGTCCAGGCTCACTTGGGCCACAGTAGGTGGGAAAACCTGGCTTTTACTTGAGAAAGTTTATGTTAAGCCTAGGCAATATCAAACACCTTAAATCAGGATAAAAGATGCCTTTTCCATTATAAAGTATTTGTTAAGGGCTTTGATTATAACTTAATTCTTTCAGCATTGCATGGCATTTTGCAATAGAAAATGTTATTCTTGCTTGAATCATTCTACACCAGTACAGAAAATTAATCAGAAACATGCCATGTGAGGAACTCAAACCCATGCTTGAGCATGCCTATAAAAAAGAAAGTTTGATAAAGGAAGTAAATTCCAAAGCTTCAGTGTATAACTGGCTAAAAGCTGCAAGCCTTAGGAAGGTGTAGTTCATTTGTATTGGTGTGAGCATGAATGTGCTGCCTGTGTTAGTTAGAGGCTGGGCAGTGACAGTGCAAAACATACAACCTCCTTCAGTGGAGCACTGAAGGCATTGACTTGTTATTATTCAATACCACTTTGGAAGTAAGGAACTAGGGGACATTCTTTCCAATCCTTCTCTTTTTATTTGGAAAAATAGGCCAGTGAAGCTCAGTGTAAAAAATTACAGTTGTGCCATTGTCATATTGTAGAGTTTAGCATTTTGTAAGTTAGTTTTCATAAACATTTCAATTGATAAAACACAGTTTATAAAACCTGTAAAAGATGGGAAAAAAGGATGTGTGAGGAATTGAGGAACTCCAGTAATGTTGCACATCCCAGCCTCTGTCCACACTTCAGGGACTTACTGCAGTATGAGGCAGAAGGTCATCAAGACTCAACAAAATACAGGTGTGATTAAACTACATTTTAAATATTACCAAAGAGTATATATATGGAAAAAAAAATATAAAAAGAAAAATTGTGCATGGGCAAGAAGACAAGCAAATTCCAGTGTCAATCCCTCTTTAAAACCTTATATAAATATTAGAATAGGATTTTTTCTGTGTCATTTTTGCTGGTATAATAATTTTCCCAAGACTGGAGAACATATATAAATCTATTCACTTTAGAGTAATTTTTTATACAGAAAAAAAATCTAACATTTTATGACTTATTTTCCTATGCCATTATTACGCAGGAGTCTGTTTGGCTTTGTGTTTTGGTTTTTCCCTTTGGGCTTTTTTTCTCATTATTAGTAACTAGCAAATGCATTTCAACAGGTCTGTTCTGTAGCCCTGAAGGGTTACAGAAATAACGACCTGTATTATTGATATATGTCTTATAGCTTGTGGCATAGATATGTATTCAAAAACTACAGGAGACTAAAGTGTGGAGCAGCTGGACTTGAAGAAATTATCAAGATAGATATTTTATGTCTGGAACATAGATACATGTGAATTGCAGCATGATTTCTATTTGTTTCAAAGAACTCTGAATCTGATCCTCTGATAGATTTTCTCTCTAGTTACTCATATAGAAATGTTAGGACCAGTTATTTAATCATATCAGTGAAGGTTCAAAGTTTTATCAGCCACTGACTAAAAATCTGCTTAGAGGTAACAGTGTCCTTTCCAACAGAGATCATGAAGCCATTAAATCACATTGATTTGGGAAATCAATTCTCAAGGAGAGAAATTCACTGCTGGCAGTTTCACTCCTACTGCCTGCTCTACTCTGGAAGTCTTTCTGTGGAAATGACAGCCTCTGAATTTTCCTTGACATAGGCCTTGTTGTTTTTTGCTCTGTCACACAAGCTAATCCATCTGTCTGGTGTTTTCCCTGTACCAGATATTCCCTCGAACTTGGCTAAAAACTATTAGAGTTTTACTGAGTATTAAGTTTGGAATACTACTAGTTTCTCTGGGAAGCTTCAGCAATAAATTGATCAAATGTAGACAGACAGTAGTGGCAATAGTTCTCAGCTAATTAGAATTCCTTAAATAACCCTTACCACTGGCTTTTCCATGTCATAAGAGAACCTTCACTACTTCGATATTCCTAGTCAAGAAATTTCAATTTATTAAAACTTTAGCTAATAAAGAGTTAGACTAAGCTTTTCCACTTTACCTCCTTTTCTTAGGGTGGAGGTGTTAGTATAGATAACACCACTGATAATTACAGCAGATTCAGCATAATTCAGATGCTTTGGCATCTCATTGTATTATAAGCTTTGTGCATTGCATGGATTAGTTTTCAGTGTAGCTGTGGATAGGCAAAGTGAATCTACTTTTGCTGGTGAGAATTGCCTCATTAATTGCAATATTTCAATTCAACCCTTCCTGTGAACTCTGTGCAAACCCTGTATAGAATTCCAATTACAGTTGTTCTATTGAACAGGGAAAACAATAAAATCTGAGACTGTAAATGTATAAATGTGTCTGGATTTTCCAGCAAGAGATACCATTTTTTATTTATTTTCTCCCTTTTATAAACTCTTGTCTAGGGTTTTGGTCATAATCTGTTTTGCTTGGTGTGTTGCAAGGGACCATAAGGACAGAACTTTTTCTGCTGCTGTGGATCTGGTTAAAACCTAAGCCAAATTAAACAAATACAGAAGAACAGGCTGTCACATAATTAGAAGCTGCTTGGGATTGCTAGGCTTGTGGCCAAGACTGAGTGCTAAAACCACTTCAGGAGCACTAAGATATTGCAGTGGTTCTGGATTATTTTAGAGCTGATATTTTATAATTACTGCTTTTTTATTGTAGAAGCATTAAGTTTCAGCTGTAGATCGAGGCCTTGATAGCCCTGAGCACTGTATACTGCATGCCATTTGCATTTAATTTCAGGGCCATCTTCTTGCCTGCCCTCATTCAGGCTAAGTTGCATTACTTTATGTTTACATACTGATATAAATCTTCTAAAGTTAAGTGCATGTCAGTGGATGACACCAGTTGTGTTACAGTTGTATTACAGCCCTTTAAATTCAATCAGGATCTTCTGAGTAAGTGCTACATTCAATTTAATGGCTCCTTTGTCATTGCAGATAATGATAGGAGAAGGAATTCTCTACTGTTGCCTGTCCAAAAGAAGAAATGGGATTGGAACAGAGGCCAATATTAATGCAGGAGGATGCAACTTCAATTCTTTTCTTAGAAGAGCTGTCAGATTTGTTGGTGGGTCTCAATTGTTACTCACAAAAAAGAACTTTCCACATACGTTCAGTTTTCACCATGCAGGTTTGCTTCTCTGAAACAGCCTTTCAGAACAGTGCAGAGCTGTCATTAGCATAGATCTGCTAGAAAACGTGAGAAGAAACTTAGACTGCAACAGAGCAGCCCCATACTCAGTAATGGAGCATCTACACTCTCCATTTTGACTTTCCTCTCCTGCTCTATTGTCAGTATTTCTAAAAGAGTAATTTGTTTTTCCTTCCCTGCCCACCTCGAGCTGGCTGCCTTTTAATGATTTCAGTGTATAACTTCCCCTGCCTGTCTTCAGTGCATCATAAGGATTCAGCCCACCTGTCACACTATTCAGCATGACAGTGAAAACTTGTCAGAAACTCTCAGTAGGTTTGACATTCTTTTCCTGGAATGTGTTTATCTGCCTCTCAAAAAGGGCTAGAATCTGGCAACTTAAATGATAGAGGAACACGTTGAAATCTTTTGTTTTACTTTGTTCTAATTGTCATTTATGAAAAACACTACTTTGAAAGGAAACTGGACTTTGATCCCCTTCTCACAGTTAATTTCCTCTCCCAATGAGTGGCTAAAGATAAGGTTTCCTCTGTTTCAGAAATCTTTTGTTAGAGAAGGCAGCCTAGGCAAAGACAACCAGCAGGACAGCAGACTGAAAACCTGGTAGGACAACTATTCCCTGGATTTTGGTAGTCTGGCAAACAGGGAGGTAGTGACAAGCAAGGTTCTGCAATCTGTGAGCAGCAAAGCTTCACAAGAGCAGCAGTGAGGAAGAAAGCAGAGGGTTTGTAGATTACACCATGGGCAAGGAGGACTGTAAACATACCCCACATTCATTTCTTCTCCTATTTGGTATTCCATCACCAAAAAAACAAGCTCAAAGACACGTGAATTTCATCCCCAATTCCCGCTCTGAATTTGAAGATGTTTTCATATTTTAATGTCTTTAACACTCTTTCAATTTCAGGATGAAAAACAAATTTATCTTTATGAATAAAGTAGGGAATTATAGGTAAATCTTTAGAAGAGCAGATGAAAATGTTCAGTAAAGCAATAGCATTACTTCTTTTGCCTTGTGAATTTAGCATTATTAATCAGTCTGAAGCACTGATCCCTTATGAAATAGACTTAAATATTTGGATTAGTGACAAGGACACAATACTCAAGAAACATCAGAGATGTTGAGGTAGCCAAAGTTATCAACTGCTAGCGATTCTATGGTGGCAAAAAGAGAACAGGTCTTCAGAATTATGATCTAATGGGCAGTTGTCCATGCTACTAAAAGCCTGTCTTCCAGTGGGAAACTCCAAGGACTGGATAAGCCCATATGCTCTCTTCAAATACTTGGCAACTCTTCAGTCAATTCAGAAAACTTCTTTCCAAACTGAAGCAGCTTCAGTGTAGCTCTCTTTTATGAAAAGAGTTTGGAGGACATCAAGCCATTAAAACAAATTTTTAAGTATCAATAGGAATAAAACAAGCATAAACTATCTCAAATTTTATATTAAAGAATTCAGCTTTGCAGTAAGCTTTTGTTCTCCATTTAAATTCTCTTATTCTACATTTAAATTTTCTCAAATCCAATAGCAAAAGCCATCAGAGCTCTGTTGAATGTACTTTGCACAATTAATCAGCCTAATTAATGCATATAATAAAATTAACAAGCTCTGTTGATTTGTTTCCTAGGTGTTCACGTGTTTGGTCTTTGTGCAACTGCTCTTGTTACTGATATTATACAGCTATCAACAGGATATCAGGCACCATATTTCCTGACTGTTTGCAAGCCTAATTATACATCCTTAAACGTATCTTGCTCAGAGAATTCATATGTTGTGGAAGATATTTGCTCAGGAGCTGATCTCAATATTATTAACGCTGGAAGGTTGGTTCTATTCTTCATTGTGTACATTTTTAAGTATTCATTTTATTTTTTTCTATTCCAATTTAAAGGGGTTTTTTTCCTAGTTAAAGTCTGAATGACTTAGAGGTGAATGCATGAATGTCTTTTTAGTGATGTTCAATTCTCTCCATAAAGATATTAGTTTAGCAGTAGGCTTTGGAAGACTTTGTCAGGTTCCAAGGCACAGTCGTTAGCAGTTGTTCTGCCCCCTCAAAGGAGGCAATTTCCTATACAACTGTCACTATGTATGGCTTCTACTGCTTTCCAAATTGGAATGTGGGTAAGTTCCCTGTAACAGGCTGGGGAAGAAGTCTCCAAAGTGCTTGGTCTGAGACCTCTGTATAACATACATTATATTTCAAGTGTTTGGAATATTTTAGACAAGTATGTTTTCTGTTTCTCTAAATAATTTTTTATACTAACAGCATTGGAAAATATATTTTTAGAGGAAATACAACAATAGTGACAGCTGTGTGTTGCCAAACCTGTCTTTTCTTGCATGGTATTTCTAACTGTTTTTTAATCTCTTTCCCCATAACCATTTGCTGTTACTGGGATATTGCCAGTGAAGCCTGATTCTTGCAAGCAGTGTCTTGCAACTGCATGGTGTCCCAGGGAAATCAGGACATGATTACACAGGAGCAAGCAGAAAAATTTTCACAGTTACATCTCATTAATTTCATTATCTCAAATGTGGTCTACTGCTTTGAATTGACTGCTTGTAGCCATTCCAAAACCACCAATCACTCCTAAGTTTAAATACCATCACTTCTAAAAAATACAGTGAAACTGATTGTAAAATATTAAGACTAAGCAATCAGGCTTTGGGTGTTTCTGTTTCCCTGGAAAAATAACCATATATTGATATCTCAAAATTATTCCCATCATAGAGGATATATTTGGCAATCTATAATATTCTGATACCACCCACAATTTCTCCTTAATTCCATTTTATTGCATTTTTCCTTTATTATATTGTTATTTCCTTATGCCAGTCCCAACTTTACCACAGCAAGCAGCACTTGCTACTGGTTCTTCAGTAGCACTTGCTACTTGCTTCAGTCACTTATATAGAAACTATGGTATAACTTCTACAGTACAGGAGGTTAATTTGACTTCAATAATTTCAGTTTGGAAGGAACTTGTTCTGAGTTTGCTAATGGCCTTCATTTTTGATTTGTACTTCCCAGAAACTTTGGCTCCAGAAATTTGCCTCTGGACTTCTGTGTGAATAGTATAGAGAGAAGCACATAATTATCCAACTGATTACATCAAATCATTTTTCTGCAACATCCCCAAATATCCAGTGGCTCCTATTGTCCATCTTTTCCTCTATTATCTTCAAAGAGCCTTTTCAGTCACTTTTGTTCAGCACTGCAGTGAGGTCTCTGTCCTCTGTCATCTCTGATGTTCTGACTCAGTATGGCTCTTTCCCTCAGTAGGACTCTCATTGTTCCCCCTCTGCACATCCTCATGCATGAGCATTTAGAGTGATACACTGTCATTGGAGTTCAGGACATGTTTTCTTTGAGACCTTTGTCCACGTTCACAATACAGAGCCATACAAAAAGCCTACATATTTTTAGCTGGAGTTATTTTCATTTTAGATTAAAAGATAACAAATACAGGAACAAAAGCAGCGACACCATTAGAGAGTACATTTAGTCTGTGTTTGCCCTGAAAGCATGTGAATAGAAAAGAGAATAAAGAGAAAATTGACTGTGCCATTGTGACACACCTTATATGCTACAAAAATGCCATCAAATTAAGGTTAAGTGATAGAAAAGTTCATAGACTAAAATATACACATTAGCTCCACAGAGACTCCAAGTAGATTTATGCTTCATTAAAACCTGCACAGGGCAAAGGAGTTGATTAGCTATTATAAACATTTACATTTTTTTTTTTTCTTTGTGTCTTTATTCCCCTGTCCTCAGCCCTGAGTTTGTTCTGCAGGAATACTATTTGTGAAAGATTTGTTCACAGAGGTAAAAAATAAAATAAAATAAGATGAAGAAGAATTTAGGTCTGTCTTTAGAAATGCAAAAGGAACAATGCAGATTAAATCTTGGCCAGTCATGAATCTGCTGGAGCCATAGGCTCAAATTCAGGTCAGCAGTATGGCATTCACAGTGAACTACATGCACATTTTTAACTGCCAATTAATTATGCAGAACAGACAAGGCAAAATGCGTAGGAAAGAAATTTAGAAAGCAGTCTCTGCTGCTTTGCAGAACAAATGTCTGTCTAAAGCTAAAGGACTGTGTTTCAGTCTCTGCTATCCTAAACCAGCTCACTCAGGTGTTTTTAGGAAATTGGCTGTATGTGGAGCCCAGTTAGGGTGGCAAGACCCATCTGTAAAGCTGAATTATAGTTTAATTATTTATCCCAAGCTGAGCTTTCTCAGGTGAAAGTTCCTGTTGTGACTGCAAGGTAGACATACTCTTCTTCACCAAGACATGCAGACTTAGACTTTTTTAGGGCTTCTGTGATCTAGATGTCCACTGTAGAACATGTATTACTGAATTCAAACCCAGCTTTTTTTCTGTCTACTAAGTAAAAACCTCTTTTGCATTCACATCACTTCTCTTTGGTTATTTTTAGAGAGTTGAAATGGGTCTAGAAGAATAATAATACTAAAATGTTAGAGTGCCTCATGTGATGGTTCTATGTAGCTCCTGCTTGCACAAAACCTCCTTTTCTTGTCAGAGAAGTAGAAGTTAATCTGTCACTTTTAAATTTCGTATCTGAAGCCTGTAACTCAAGACCCAGTCCACATCATTTAAGTATCCAGGTTTTCAGTTGGAGCAGAAGGCCCTCAACAATTTCAAAATCAGACTTGATATCACTTGTCTCAGAATTTAGACATATTTTCATTGATTCTCATTCTCTGGCCCTCAAGAAGGGGCTCAGTAAATTTTAAAATACCCTCCCCATGTTGTTGTGCTCCATTAACTTCTGTCGTGATGTAAAGTTCTGAATTTTTTTTAATAAAAAATTTGCTATTTGCTATAGACATAGCAAATAAAGATGTAGTTTGCCTCTCTGAGAAAAATGTCACCCAATGACAAATATTATCAATAGATCACATATTGCTTAGGAAGTATAAGATGGCTGTACCACCCCGTGTTTTTATCAATGAGCACTAGCACTGTGCATTTGAACTGAGAAGTATAATTTGAGTGTCCTTCCTTGGCAGAAAGTCATTCCCTTCTCAACATGCCACCCTAGCAGCCTTTGCAGCAGTGTACATTTCGGTGAGTAACCAACTCTGTTCAGTTTCATTTATACGAGACAAAAGTCAGAAAATAATTTGCTTTATATTGTTAAATTATGTGTTGCCTGGATATCTTGGATGGATGGATGGATGCTTTTATCCTAGCAATTTGAAAGCACAATAAAACTATTAATAAAGCCGGTTTTATTGTGGCTGTTAAAGAATAGGGAAAAGATTCAACTGCATCATATCCTTTGTTAAAAAAGCAAACAAAAGTGTTATGTTAAAGTATATTTGATGCCTCATATTATCCTCATATAAAATGCAGTGTTTATCTGTCTTACAGAGTGATATTTTAACTCACCAGTCAAATTAACCATTATGTATGCTTCCCTTTCTTTGTTGCTGTCTTCACTTGATTTGCTGCTTTTAAACCTGAGGCATTAAGGGCCATACATTCATGTGATGTAGTTTGATTTCACCTCCAGAGATTTGCAGCATGGATGAAATGGTACAATCGCTCCCAGAGGCCTTCAAGGTGCTACTGCAAAGCAAGTGAATAAAACCCATCAGTCACTAGCAGAGAACTGTGGGACATGCTGCAGCAATCACAGCTGATTTTGCACCTCTAAGCAGTAACATTTCTTCAGTATGGCCCACAATACTTGTATTATAGACAACTTACTTGAAGTTTAAAAAGCAATTCCATCACTCGTGCTGTGAAAATCAGAGGAAAACAACAGTAATGACCAGTTAATGACATTAGGTGATAGTATTGTGCATGTACTGGGAGCTTGCCAGTGTTTATTCTGCCCAGAGAAAGGCCAGAATTCGGAATAACACTGATGAGCCACCTCCACTTAATTTTTGTGACCTCCCTGATATTATGGCCCTCAGTTGAGAAATGGCTCTCTAAAGCATCTGGTGGTAGCTTTTGTTGGAACAAGTTATTGCCTTCATCTGGAACGACATCTGGCTTCTGTATTTCACAAGTAATGGCTCCTTAGTCACATTTATAGAACATTTAGGTGCTGATTTGGAACAGTATTGAGGCATAAAATACTTATCCTAATTGATGTCAATAAGCAACACTGCCTATGTTTTTGGAAATCCATTCCTTGTGATTTCAGATCTTTCTGCAGTAAGTGAGCAAATTTTAACAGGGCTGTAAAGTAAAATAAATTGATTACTTGTAATATTACTGTGTACTAGTGATCTATATATAAAAGGAACACTGAATGTGAGAAATTAACATCCTCTTAGCTATATTTAAGTTTCTTCAACTGCTTCTTTATTTCTTTATTTTTCAAGATGTACTTCAATTCTACATTAACAGACTCCTCAAAACTTCTTAAACCACTCTTGGTCTTTGCCTTTATCATCTGTGGAATTATATGCGGTCTGACTCGTATTACCCAGTACAAGAATCATCCCGTTGATGTTTACTGTGGCTTTCTCATAGGAGGAGGAATTGCTCTCTATTTGGTAAATATAATAGTCATGGTTAAGTTTTAGCAAATTAAACTTCTAAGGCTGGAATAAGAGTACTGGGTATTTTAATGAAAGCTTTTCATCATGCTCACGTGCCATAAGTATAAATAAAGTCAATTTGTGTTGAAGAGGATGAATTAGGGATAATGATTTTAAAAGCAAACAGGAAAAAGCAAGCAAGTATTTCAATGTGAAGTTGCAGACCAGTGCATAAAATGGAATATAATCACCTGGCATTGTATACAGAAACAGTTCTAACTTTATGTGCTTTATTAAATACATAAAAATACTATTTTCTAATCCACACTTAAAAGCATAACACAAGAAAAATATTTGATTAATCAGTATTTGTTACTGATTTGAGTTGATATTGACAATATTTGCTTTATAATCTCAAAAAATTATTGAATTCGTATGAGCAACTCAGCTGACTGAATTGCTGTATCTCCAAGAAATTAAAGGCAATATTATACACTTGTGATTCTTTGGACTTTTTAAGGAAACCATGCAGAGGGAGAAGGGTGGTCAGATCAGGTTATTCCTATGCTTTTCTTTTGTACTGTGTCAAAAGAGATGGAGCACCTTGGAAGGGCCCTGTAAAGAAACATGTAGGTCAGGCCTGATTGTATCTGTCAGTGGAAAGCCCATCAAGCACTTGCTTTTGCTTGCTGCTCTCAGAATGTTTCCAGTAGGAACTCACTGCCCTGGCTGCTCAGAGAGCAGCACAGGTGCCTGGGAGCAATCAGAGCTTCTGCTGACACCACTGCTGAGTGCAGGCAGGTGAACAGAAGGGTCGTAACAGCCAGTGGGATGGTTTTACCCCCAAGCAGTCAATGATGAATTTTAGTATAATACTAAAATAACTTCATTTCCTGACCTCTTTTTTTTTGTGATAACATAACCTGAGGTACCTGCAGATGGTCTGCAAAGGTGACCAGGGAAAAATGCCTTTTACAGTGGCAGAAGAAAGAGCAGTCAGAGTAATAACAGAAACCCCATGAGCTACTAAAGTCAGCTTCTATGATTGCATTATGAGCAGAAAGGCACTCCGTAGAGAATATTATTTCAAATGATTCTCTGTTGTAGATTTACCTAAATGGAGCTGTTGTCCCCATGTTTGAAATACACAAACAAGTATGCTTTGTTGGGTCTTAATATACTGTTTTGTGACACTATACAGCAGAGAGTATGTTGTTCCTGGATACCCAGTGCTCAGTAAAACTGCCCTCAAAACTACACACCAATAGGAGGATGGGAAGGAGAAATAATGTGAAACTACAAATAATTCTGAAAGGAGTGTAAAGGATGAGTAACTCAAGTGATTGAGTCAGATATTTGACCTTCTCACAGGAAAACCTCAGTGGAGTCTTTTTTAAATGACAGCATTTTACAGTGAGTCTACTGATTAGGAAAATTTTTATAACTAAATCTTCTTAAAGTTCTGCACAGCTTGGAAAGCAATTGATTTAAAGTTGATAAATTTTTCTATGATGTAGATATTGTATTACATGGTTATTGTGCAGTAGAAAGGGCAGAATCTGCTAATGGCAGAGAACAACTCAGGCTGTAACAAGATTCAGTAAATCAGGGTAGGCAGTAGTATAGCTGTATAATAGCTTTGCCTAACAGACTGCAAACATCTATTTTGCTCTTTTGCTAACAAAACATTATTTCTGTAGTTGTATCTGTTGTTTGATAAAAAGAAAGCTCATGGAGGCTAAATCCATACCTCCACTGTTTATTGCCATGAATAATATGCCCTAGTTATCCTATTGAGACTACTTCATACATACCTAGAGGTACCAGATTGAGGACAGAATTTGAACTAAGGCTATACTAGTGAGGAAAGGCAACTGAGCATACCCATCAGTTTAGCTGGAGTAATTATGTCACAGAATTCTATTTAAAAGCCAAAAATGTAATTAAAGTACCTTAAAATGTGTCCTTTTTAACTTAACCAATTGTTGATGCTTCTGTCCAAATATCAGGGCCTGTATGCTGTGGGGAACTTCTTACCAAGTGACGAGAATGTGTTTCACCCAAATTTTCACAGAGAACCTCTAAGGTCATTGACAGACCTCAGCCAAGATGCCAACAGAATCCTGCCAGGTAAAAATGGCAGCGGCAGCGATGGCATTGTCTCCCACCGTACAGAAAGTATCCTGAATAGAAACCACAGAGATTCAGGCTCCCTGACCAATCTCAAGAGAGCAAATGCTGATGTAGAAATAATAACACCACGAAGCCCAATGGGAAAGGAAAACATGGTTACTTTCAGCAACACTTTGCCAAGAGTCAACACACCATCCTTGGAAGATCCAGCAAGACGAAATGCAACAATACACGCGTCGATGGATTCCGCCCGTTCCAAACAGCTGCTGTCCCAGTGGAAGAACAAGAATGAAAGTCGAAAGTTGTCACTGCAGGTAATAGAGACTGAATCTGGCCAGTCACCACCGAGGTCTATCGAAATGAGGTCAAGTTCAGAACCCTCCAGAGTGGGTGTAAATGGTGATCATCACGGCCCAACTAGCCAATACCTGAAAATCCAACCTGGCAGTGTACCAGGTTGTAACAACTCAGGCCTTACTGGCGGGCCAAGGGTCTCTATTCAGTCCCGTCCTGGCTCATCTCAGCTAGTACACATTCCTGAAGAGACTCAGGAGAACGTGAACACATCACCCAAAAGTAGTTCAGCTAGAGCTAAATGGCTGAAAGCTGCTGAGAAGAGTGTTGCATGCAGGAGTAATAGCCAGCCAAGAATCATGCAAGTAATAGCCATGTCTAAGCAGCAAGGAGTGCTTCAGGGCAGTCCAAAGAGTTCAGAGGGAAGCACAGTGACCTGTACAGGAGCCATCAGATATAAAACCTTGACAGACCATGAGCCAAGTAGCATTGTAAGAGTTGAGGCCCATCCAGAAAATAACAGACCTGTAATTCAGATGCCATCAGAAGGTGAAGGAAGTGGGTCATGGAAATGGAAAGGTCCTGAAAAAGTCACTCTTCGTCAAACATACGAGCTAAATGATCTTAACAGAGACTCTGAGAGCTGTGACTCCTTAAAAGACACTTATGGGTCAGGTGACAGGAAAAGAAGCAACATAGATAACGCTGAGCATCACCATCATGGAATCACCACGATAAGAGTCACACCAGTGGAGGGAAGTGAGATTGGCTCAGAGACTCTGTCCATTTCTTCTAGCCGGGACTCAACACTCCGAAGAAAAGGTAACATCATTTTAATCCCTGAGAGAGGGAGCAGTCCGGAGAACACCAGAAACATCTTCTATAAAGGCACATCCCCCACACGAGCGTACAAGGACTGAGAGGAGACATATCAGCTGGACCATACCACCACAAAGTAATCACATCTTGACACAGGTTCTGCTCCCTTTGTTTTGAGCTGATATTTACCTTTATGTGCCAAATTATTGACCAGCAGCCCTGCATTGCTGATGTGCAATGTGCATGAGCCTGTGAAAAGCATGTGGTGGGGGGGAAAAGCACAATGCCAGAACTAATGTGAAATATTTTCATGCAACTTGTTTCTTCAGATTCAAAACATTTATCTGAGGGCGATGATGTCAATTAAAAGAATGGTCTTGAACACAGACACTGTATTTCCTGAATGTGCCAACTTTTTATTTTATATTTGTGTCCAAAATTGACTGACTTTTTCACAGCAAAGGCTGTATCAGTGGTATATATTCACCTTTGCAGAATTTGCACCAAATCTTTAATACAGGATGGTGCTGATGATAACTTTACATGTTTTGAAAAATTGCATAATTATTAGACTCTGCAAACATGACATATTGATGTGCAGTTACTTTACAAGTAATATTGCTAATACTATGATGATGCTGGCTGCATTCATTTAGCGTAGGAAATATTTACAGCTTTGTTATAGTGGATCTGTCACATTCAAAGATTGCAAAGGTTTTGTGTAGTTCTTTAAGATGTCTACTGCAACAAAAATGTGTGGGTGACATTCCATTAGAATGGAATGACTATCTATTTTGAATAGTTTTGCTGCTACTGCTCAACTTTTGTTTAAGAACAGGTGCTACTAATGAAGAGGCTGCTTCTTAGTGGGCTAACTTGTAGAATTGTTTTCAATTACGTTTTTTAAGGGGTCTTATCAAGTACTACAAGTAATTCAGATTTTACATTTGTAAACTTCTTATTCTGTCCTTCAGCGACCCTTCCATTTTTCTATTAGTTTTTAAACAAAAAATGCAGGACACCAATAACTGCAAGATGTGCAAATGTGAAAGGTGAGCCATGAGTAAATAAAAATAGATGGCAACTTTCCTGACCAGCTTCCAAGGAGAAAGGAATTAATATCATAGCTCACACTTAGAAGCAGTCATTCACCTCACTTGCTTAGTATGCCACAAGAACAATCACAAGTTTCACCCCAATCACCATCATGTAGGGGATTTGTGCTTCACTTTAAAGAATGGAATGCCTTGGTATTGCAGAATCATTGAACAAGTGTTGCATTGTGCCACTATTACAGTTCACCTCCCTTGAGACACCCTCCAGAGCCTTCTTAAGCATGATATTTTTCCCACCACTGCCACTTAAGAATAAAAAAGGTCTCTGCACCTGAGAGAACATGAATTATTTTACTAAACCAAGCTTTGGGTATAATGAAAACACTTGCCTGCTAAAAATCTCCATTGCCAAAAAATTATTGAAAGGATAAGCTCTGAAAGGAATAAACATGGCATGTCCTAGAGTGGGCCTGCTAGAAGAAATGCCTCATTTCATTTGGCTCTGACTTAAACACTGAAGGAAGCCAGGGGCAGTGCTCACCCACTGCAGCTCTTCATTCTCTCCTATTTCTACCTGAAAGAGAACTACTCTCAGACACCTACCAGCTCCCCTGCTAGGAGGGAAGGGAATGGCTTAGCAGTCCTCTCACTGAATAAGAAGTAGCAGATCAGGTCTGTTCTCTGGCTTTTTGAGAGAAGTGTTTTGGTCTAAGTCCTCTTCTCATTTAGGGTATCAGAAAACCAGATCCGTTCTCTATAGTCAGAACCTGTCTACAGACCCTACCCCGCAGAACTCTAAGGAAAAGCCCACCCTACCCCAGCCAAGGAGGAGGTAGAAGGAAGAATCATCCTGTTCAAGATAAACAGCACAACACAAACAGACCAAAAAAAAAAAAACCAAAAAAACCCCCAAAACCCCAAACCAAACAACAAAACAAAAAACCCAAAAAAAAAGACCTCCAAACCAAAACTAAATCCCAAACCCAACCCCAAACCTAAGTAATTTCACAAGGATGAGGATGGTGTTTGCGAGTCAATGGAAAGCTTTATATGTACTTCCCAGTTTTTCAGGTGCTCCAGGCTTACTGAATGCTTGCTGTCAAGCCAACTGTGCCAAGCAATGCTTCCCTCACCTGCCCATCACCCCGTGCTGTGGAAGAGTGTCAGTCCTTAAGGAAATGACCACACTCTTTCTGCTATTGATACAAGATGACCCCGTCATACTTAGGATGATTGGGAGAAAGTATTCTGCAGGTTGCATGCAAGAAGCTACCCAGTAGGGTTGCAGCATATTGTCTATGTTAAAGGCACTCTATGTTGAAGACACACTTTAAGGCACATCAGCTGGGAAAAAATAATCATAGATACCAGGAGAAAAAGGAAAAAAAAGTAATTTTTTTAGAAATAAGTTCTCAGACGCTAGTATTTACAAGTCAGGATTTGTTTTTTTCGTTTCAAAAGGATGTATCTTTAGTCCTTGGTATTTAATATGAAATTTTGTACAAGATTCCAAGGAATTACAAACACTTGGACTGTCATGAACAAAACCCTTTGGATTTAGTTTAGTGTAAGTACAGGATAAAGCAGGTAGGATTAGCTTTAAAGGAATGGGTAAGACACAAACACTGTTGGCCCAATGCAGGGAAATAAGATGCAATCATTTGTTAGTTTGTAAGTGCAGGGGAAAAGAACATAAGTAGATGAACCTGGAAATAAAGGAAAATTGAAATGGAGAATAATGGCAATAAAGCAAAGATTAGAAAATGTTCCCTCTGGCAATTTAGCTGTTTTGGAAACAGCAGGATTCCTGGTGGGAGTGTTTGTTCTTTATTCCTTGGTTTTAGTCAGATATATATTGGCATATATGTTGCTTTTATTACTCTAAAACTTGCTGCACTATTTCAAGTGCAGTGTGATATTTTTCCTAAAGTTTCCTATTTCTTAAGAAAAGATTTTAAAGCTCTTGTGTAATCATTGAAATTATGTTCTATACATAAATATTGATATATTCTTTTTTACTCAAAGTGCCAAAGGCTACTGTTTTTAATAATGGCTTATCAAATTATATTACGTTAGAGAGCAGAAGTATAATAATATATACATTGGAACTCAGACCTCTGCATGTATATTTGATAAGGAGCCTTTTGTAAAATTACTCTTTGTTTACATTCCACTGGTACCTTAATTTAAAATTAATCAAATAAATTGACAGGTGACATCTTATTAGTGTTCTGATTTTCTTACTTGCTAACAGGCACGAATTTCTTTGTTAGGCTGTGCTTTACTGAGAAAAGAAAATACTTAAAAGTAAAATATGTTTTTAAATGAGAATTCTCTATATAAAGTATTGTGTTTAATAAAATGTTATGCCATGTTTTCAAATGGAAAATAATTTGTAAATTGCTATAAATGTATTTTGTTAAACAAGTACAGATCAATGCTACTGTGTGAGTTTATTGTGCTAACATCATGAAATAAAGATAAAATTCCTCATTTATGTTTGTTTATCTGTGGTGAAGCAAAGTCTCACTCCCCACGAAATTATTTTTCACTATTAGGTATCTCATGATGTGTAAAAGTGGTGAGAAACCTCGAGACCTTGTACAGCGGTAAGAAGATGTAAGGAACAGTATCCAAACAAACTTTTCTCTAACCAAAAAACATTTTACAAAACACCCCAAGTGAATTGGGAACTTCAGGCCATGTGAGGATGCGCTCGCTCAATCATTCTGCAGCAGCAGCTGCATTGGTAAGCCCTAATGCCCCTAAACCACCTTGCCAGTGTTGGGGAGAGCTGCCAGACACGACGAGGCCAGCCTTGGATTTGTGATGAGAACAGGGCAGATGTCAGAGGCAAAGCTGAGAGAAGCAGCCTTACCTAGAAGGCACACAAGGTAGTGTGGTAAGCACACAGCAAACAGTCTCCAAGCCTGCCTAGAAACACCTGAAATGGCAACAGCAGGGCCCAGATGCCTGGGGTGGAAGACACAGCTGTAGCTCAGGGATGCACTGGCACTGCCAATGGCCTAATAAGGACCACAGGGAGTGCCAGAGCCCCTGCAATGCATGGCAGCACAGCAAACTCACTCTGAGAAGCTTTCCCAAGTGTGCCTGGGCCTTTGTGCAGCCTGCCCCTTTCCACCTGTGTGTCCTTGGAGCAGGTAATAACCTGCTGTGGCTGGGGGCACTGGGCAGCTGCTGTCCCTGCTGGCTCCAGCCAGGCAGCACAGAGCTGAGTGGTGACAACAATGTCACACGTGCTGTGCTCCATGCCAAGGCAGGCGGAGTGGACTGACATCGCCTCAAGCTGTGCTGCAAATGTGGCTCACTTGGCAATCCCTGTCCCATGACTTTCATGACAAGTTAAGATTTCTCAAGCAAAAGAGAAATCAAAAACCAGAATGTTGTCTCTCAAAGAAAGGCAAGTGTCTGTACAGTTGTGATACTGTTCTCTCTGTGGTGACAGAAGGTGCTTTCTTCTTGTGGCTGGGGCAGAAAGATGTCCTGCCCCCACAGCATGAGTAGCCAGTTTCAGGAGAGGGCTCTCATTTGGGCAGCAGCAGATGCTGCTGTGGCAGTGCATTATATGCCTTGAGTGAGGCTGTGTGAAGTGTAAGGGCTGTGGCCCAAGGTTATGGTGGTCCATCCTCTAGGACATGTGTTGGTAGCCTGGGAAAGCTACAGACAGTAGTTGGTAAGGCTGGGAGAGACTCTGAAGGATGCAAGAGAGAAAAACAGACTAGGGCAGGACTGCTGGAATCTGGTATGTAATGCAAATCTGGTGAGTTCTTCCCTGGGAATGGCCCCTTCCATGGATCACAAAGGGGCCTAGACAATAAGTTCAAACATTTTAAAGGGCACATTTTAAACATCTGAATTTAGGCTAAAAACAAAGTTCCCCTCTGAAGGGTATCTTTGATGTAGAGATTATATTATAAAACTTCATCTAAGATGACAAAGTACCTCTACTAACAAACCTTGTCACATTTCCCTTAGACCATTCTGGCTACAGAAAGAGTGTCACTAATATAAGAGAGCTCACTGTGATCCAGATTGATGACTAAACGTGATCATGTAAAGGGGTTTACAAAGGTATGGCTGATTAAACTGAAACTTAAATCTATTTTGTGCTGGACTTTATAAGAGCTTCAGAGGCCTTGATATAAGAAGTCACATAAGACAAGACTGTACCAGAATCAGTTTGGCATAGATTAGGAAGGCCTTTTGTGTGACAGATCGGTGTACACCTATTTGGCAGGAAAATTTTAAAGGTATTAGAACCCTTGTTCATAAAGTAATGAATAAAATCTTTTCATAAACCTTAAAGCACAGAATGTATCAAACATGGGATAAAACTTCCAAGTATCTCCATACTCCATATTCAAAATGAAAGAAAGGGAACTCCAGCTGCATATATGTGCATAGAAACATACACAACACAAAGTTAACATGCTCACGACAGGGTTTAGAAGGAGAAAGCTAAACCTACAATTTAAATCAAGGAACAAATTGAGGCAAGGTTGCAAATACTCTCTCTCAAATTTTTCAGTTTTGCCTGCAGTAATCTCTTCAGGCATTCCAAATGTACATATAGACATCATTTAGTTATACCTCCCATATATGAAATATGTGATTTTCCCATAAAGGATAACACAAATCCTCACATTCAATGGCTTTATCAGCACGTTCCTGTTTAAAAAAAAAAAAAATAAAAAAAAAGGCAAGCTAAGAACTTATCCATAAGTCTGCTCAGTCCTAGAAAACACATCTCATGTTTGAGGGGGGAAAAAAAAGGAAAAATATTATCTCCCTCTCACTACCTTCAAAGGTCAGGTGTCATTCTGCTTTTTCATACTCTATTACTTTTCCAGTGCTGCTCAGAAAGAAATGGGAGTCACGGGGATTTGTGGATCTGTCAAATCTCTGCAGCTACTAAATGATGCATAAGGAAAAGCTCTGCTCTCTCACCAAGTCATTCAGAGGAGACTGGAGCATATCTGAGTGCAATGGGATCCTGTTTCTACTCCTGCTTCAAAGAGAGTTTGTGGATCATGATGTCTGTTCCTACCCCGTGCCAGGGCCAGAAGATAACTCTGCTCTGTGAATAACATCACACGACTGGGAGCAACAGCTTTGCCCATTTTCACCTGTAAACTATATGACTATGCTTTGTAAGCAATAGCCATATTTGAATGTTCTCTAAAATTAGCTATAATGTTTTCAATTAGTACAGGCTACGTTTATCAAAGTTCACAGTATTTGATGTCCTTTCATGTACTTACTGATGTGATATTCTTTGCCTGAGCTACATTACTGATCCTGTGGGCCGTGAAATTTGTTTGCTTTAGTCAAGGAGAGGTGTGGATGCTTACCAAAGGCCAGGTGTACAATTTTTTCATAGAGCATCAGCAGGGGCTGAAAACTTGTGCACTTGTTGTAGTGTCCTCTGATACTTGTCTTCCGTAGCATTTGAGAATTATCTTTGCTCTTATAAGAGAGGAGAGTTTTCACATAAGTGATTCCAACAACCTGTATCTCCCAACACTGATTAGGAACCAGCCTGGCAGGGAATAGTTGCAGGCTTTGGACACTTCTAGGCTTTAGTTTCCTGAGAATTACTAGGCATATGATGACAAATTGCCTTGGTTTACTACCAAAGAATGAGCAGAAAAACTGAAGAGAAGCATGCAGTTTAAATGATCAGGAAAGCTTCATATAGCACATTCTGGCTGATAACACAAAACAAATGTGTTGTGAGCTCTGTTTGCCTAACAGATTGCAGATTTGTCTAACCTGCTAAACCAAGACAGACAGTGGAAAGAGGTTTCTTAAAATGCTTTTATTTTTAATGAGATTTATGAGAGTTCTCTATTCACCAATTTATTTTATGATGCA